GGCTCCAGCGGGGACCCGGGCAGGGCACAGGCTGGATGGGTGCAAGGAGGCAGAGCCCTGTAGCGGGACCGGGCAGGGACAAAGCTGTCTCTCCCATGGAAGTGGCTGCAGGAGCCCCCGAGCCCGGGGCTGGCCGCGGGGCAGCGGCGGTGCGGGCGTGCAGGGGGCCGGGGCTGGCACAGCCGAGCCACAGCGGCGGCCGGTCTCCCGAGGGGCTCCCCGGGGCTCCAGGCTGGGCAACGGGCGGGAGCCAGGGCTTTTCCCGGCCCCGCAGAGCCTCCCGCCCCCCAGCCCACCGTGGGCACATGCGGCGCGTCCCGCCGCCGGCAGGGAGCCCCGCGCCTCTCCCGCTCGGCTGCGCTCCAGCGGCTCCTTCCCGGCGGGGCGAGCAGCTGGAGTGCAGCCGAGCCAGAGAGGCGTGGGGCTCCCTGGCAGCGGCGGGGAAGTTTATGGGTTATGGGGACCCCGGCTGGCCCCTCGCCCCTGTCCGCCGGCTGCCCCGCCTGGGACAAGTCTCGCCCCCGCAGCCCCTCTCTGCCGCGTGTCTCCGGCGGCCCACGCCCCCGGTCCGCGCTGCCCACCCAGGCCAGAGCCAGCCCCAGCTGCTGCCTGCACGCAGCCCGGGCCATGCCCAGCTAGCCCCTGGCAGCTGCGGCAACTTTCCCTTCCCCTCCCACGCTCCTGGTAGATGCCCGACCCTCCTCCCTCCATCCCCCCTCCACACATCCCTCCTCCTAACCTCCTCCCTCCATGGAGGGATCCAATGGAGGAAGGAGGGGGCGGAGTCGGGGTGGGGGGGGTGTGAGCGCCGGAGCGGAGGGCAAAATTGCTTTTTTGTCCAGTGTCCCGAGCGAACATCGGTCGGGACGTGGGACAAAGAAGGAAATATCGGGACAGTCCCGATAAAATCGGGACAGTCCCGATAAAATCGGGACGTCTGGTCACCCTAGCTTGCCCTGTGGGGTCATCCGGTTATCTCTGTGCTACGCATTCTTCGGCCATGGGATATCACAGTTATAACTCTTAGGCTGGCACCTTTGATTTGCTAATTATTTATTTGCATCACATGCATTCATTCACATTCATTCTGTATCTTTAAGTCACATCTTGCACTTATGTTTTACTACCTCCTCTTCCTGACATTCTTATTTTACAATTCTGTTCTCCAGATGTGACAGACTTCCATCAATCTATTTAACTTCTTTGATACAATAGTAGAAAACAAGCAGGATAATAAACGAAGGGGGTAAGGGATTTCTGCAAGACCAATTCCAGAGCACAGTTGTTTTTACAACAACTCTTATCACTTCCTCGAACAGACTCTTTGTCCATGGATGTGCTAGTACAATTAGCAAGTTGTCCTTGTAACTTTTTACATAGAGATACAGGGAGGATAGTTTTAATTAGCTTGTCCTTGGTGCTCGAGCGTCTATATTCCTTTCTGTTGGCTTGATTTGGTTCGGGGCCTACAAGGGGATATATCTATACCTATGAAATTACAAAACCATATATATAAAACTATCAATATCTCAACATAACCTCCTGTTCTGCCTGTAAGGTGGAGCTATCCTCACTAGACTTGCCTGCCTTATCTCCAGACATATTCAGTCCTAGGCTGCAATCTTGCAAATGTGTATGAGTAGTCTTATTTAAATCAGTGGGGACTTTTCAAATTGCATAAAGTTAAGCATGTGAAGAGTTTGCTGGATCTGTGGCCCTGGTCTTCAGCACATAGGCTTATAAACGTAGCTCAAACACTCCACTCTTCTTCAGGTCTGGGTAAGGAAGCACTGTGTAGCTCAAAAGCTTCCACCAACAGAAGTTGGTCCAATAAAAGATATTACCTCACCTACCCTGTCTCCCTTACAAACAAGGGCGAGTTTGCCATCTGGGCTCTTGATATCCACAAGAAAGTGACCTGTGATACTCATTCTGTAGCAACCTTCAGATTGTAATTACCGTATATACTTGTTCATTAGCCCATTCGTTTATAAGCCGACCCCCCAAAATGGATAGGTAAAAATAGCAAAAACCGTATGACCCTTTCATAAGCCGACCCTATATTTCAGGGGTTGGAAAACTTTGGCTTCTGGCCCGCCAGGGTAAGCCACTGGCGGGTTGGGACGTTTGTTTACTTGGAGCGTCAGCAGGCATGAAGCCCCTCAGCTCCCTGTGGCTGCGGTTCGCCATTCCCAGCCAATGGGAGCTGCGGGAAGTGATGTCTGTAAAGGGTTAAGAAGCTCATATAACCTAGTGACACCTGACCAGAAGGACCAATAAGGGGACAAGATGCTTTCACATCTGGGAGGGGGGAAAGTCTTTGTTGTTGTTGTGTGTGTGCGCGCGCGCTTTTGCAGAAGAAGATCCAGGAGGCAGCCATCTAACTCCCTTGAATTAGTAAGTAATAACAGAAGAAATGTGTTAGGTTACTTTTATTTTTGTTTGCGATTTCCTTTGCAAGAAGAGGGAGGCTATTCCTGAGTTGTAACTTTAAAGTTTGCCTAGAGGAGAGATCTTCTATGTTCTAAATTTTCACCTTTTTTTTTTAATTAAAATTCTTCTTTTAAGAACCTGATTGATTTTTCATTGTTTTAAGATTCAAGGGTTTGGGTCTGTGTTCACCAGGACTAATTGGTGAGGATATATTCTCAAGCCTTCCCAGGAAGAGGGGTGTAGGGGCTTGGGGGATTATTTGGGGAAGGTAGAGCGCCAAGTGGTTCTCCCTAAATGTTTGTTTAAATCACTTGGTGGTGGTAGCGTTACTTAATCTAAGACATAAGAGGGAAATTGTGCCTTGGGGAGTTTTTAACCTAAGCTGGGGGAAAAAAAAGCGTAGGGAGTCTTCATGCGGGTCCCCACGTCTGTACCCTAGAGTTCAGAGTGGGGAAGGAACCCTGACACAAAGTAAATTAGAGATTTCAGTACACCTAGTCCATAAATAACACTCTCATTGGGTTAGATGAAATCATGTCCTCAAATACGCTCATGAAAATTCACTGACTTCAGTGGGGTTGTGTAAGTGGATGTGAATGCAGAATTTGGCCCAGTGAGCAGAGATGTCCTTTGGCCCACAAAGCTTTGAACTGTATAGACTTTGACCCTTGAATTTATATGGTTTTACTTAATTATTTCTGTTAAATTTTATCTTGTATCTTTTCACCTATAGGTGTTAGGACAACTATGCCATGCTATAACAATGCATTCTTGCCGAAGTAACAATTGCTTCCAAACTTGACTATTCTCCGAATAGTGCAGCAGAAGTTTTTCAAAAATAAATAAGACAGGGAAACTTTGGACATGAGTTTACTGTCTCTTTCTGCCGTAACAGGGCAAGTGAAGTAAAGCCCTGCTGGACTGTTGTTTAAAACATGGGGGGGAGGGGGAAAATGTTACTCAGGGAAACACTTTGGTTTTGTTTCCTTTTGTAGGGCATGGAAGAGCAAGAGCTGCCTTATGTGTTGATAAACACTACAGGAGGGACATACGGAGTATATGAGGATCATGTCGAGTTTTTGAAGAAACATTTTAACCTTATCACCATGAAGGAATTTCTTGAAAACAAAAATCGTCTTAGTGAAAAGATCAAAGCTATTTATATGTGGTGGCACAAACCAGCTGCTAACCAGGAGCTTCTCCATAGTCTGCCTAACTTAAAGGTGATTGCAACCTCTGGGGCAGGAGTGGATCATTTGGACTTGAAACTGATCTCCAGCTTTGGAGTGAAAGTCGCCAACACTCCCTTTGCTGTTTGCAATGTCACTGCAGATCTGGGGATGGCTTTAATGTTGGCATCTGCCAGGAGACTAGTGGAAGGTAACCATTTAATTTTTTTCAGGATCAGCATTTCAAAATATGCTATGTTAAAATGTATGTGGATGCATAGTTAAAAATATAAATACACAAAATCAAGGAATGGGAAAAGGTGACAATAAATGTCTCATGGTAACATTAGCTTGCCCACAGGGCACATATAATTTCCAAACAAAAATGTCAGTAAAATAGATACCTGTAGTTTTAGAGCTTCCCTCCCTTACCCCAGCTCATAACCACCATCCCATACTGCTTGTTCCCTCTGCCCCTGCTTTTCCAGGCCCAACAAGAGGGAGCACTGTGCTCTGCCTTTTTGAGGCTGATGTGAATTAGCCCCATAAAAACCTTTATTCACACTTTTGTGCCTCATCTCTCTGCCTGCAACATATGTGCAGGAAATACAATGGCAGGCAGGTGTCCTGCAGCCTCCTGGGGCTGGAGTAGATCTGGCCCCACTGAAAGTCACCTGGTGATGGTACTGCAACCTGTAGCGCATCAGCTACATTATCCAGAGTCTAGGTGACACAGCTATGGCATTGTTGGTGGGACTTAGCTCCATTAGCTCCTAATGACTAGCCACCCCAGATGGATGGCTCAGATACTGGTTGAAGAGCTGACAATTTCTACTGCTTCCAGAGCCAAAGACAAGAGCAGGTTTGTGATGGAAATAAAACTGAGGTTAAGAGTCTCATCCCACTCTCCCCCAAAGGGAGTTGGGGGGTGGGGGGAAAGGGGAGGGTGAAAGGAGACATTTACTGCTATGAGCAAGAAATCAAATCAAGAGCTCTGGTTGCCAGTGTCAACATTACCCATCATGTGTTTGATTAAAAGGTAAAAGTAAATATTGGTGCTCCATTGTCATGTTGGCTTGTGAGCCAAAGGAAAAAGATGGTGTGACAGTTTATGCCCTTAGGTGCAGGGCAGCATGGCCTAGCAGCCAGAGCCTATTGAGATGGGGGTGGGGCACCCACCAAGAGGTGTGGTGGCCCCGGTAGGGGGGCCTAAGCCCACCCAACTCCACCAGGCCCCAACCCAGGGCCCTAACACTGGCATAGCAACTGGCCACTGACTCAGTGGGGGGAGGGGGGGGGGAGGGTCCTACCAAAACACATTGAGGTTTCCCAGGCGGGAGGTACCACTCCATCACCCTCCCTGGGCCACTTCCTACCAGCGTCTGCGTTGGGACTCCCATGAGACATTGGGTTCGCTGTGGTTAGCTGGGCCGGTCACCTCCAGTGGCTACTCCAGTCACTGGGGTTCAGGCAGGCCCAAGGGGGCTCTGATTCCCAGTGTGGACTGGGGCTCTGCAGGCACTTCCCAGACAGGTCATTCCCTTGCAGCCTTCAGCTCAGAATGAGCTGGGCTTCCTCCCTTTATACTGCTAGAGCATCTGGAGCATGCCCAGTCCCACTGGGGAGGCGGGACTTCCGCTGTCAATAATATGGGCTTAACCCTGGCTGGGCTGGTGTGGGGGTAAACAGACCCTGTCACAGATGGGTATCTGAATGCCTGGCATCATTCCATTCCTCGTGCTATTTTTCTTTTTTTCAGGTTGTCAGATTGCAGTTTCCCCAAACACTGAGCATTTTGCTGATGACTTGCTGGGAGATGAAGTCACCGGGGCTACCCTTGGTATCATTGGAATGGGCAGTATTGGATATATGGTGGCCAAGAGGGCCAAAGCTTTTGAAATGAAAATTCTTTATCACAACAGGAGCCAGAGGTAAAAGTATGTCTGATCCCAGTTAGAAAATCAATTTTGTAACTGCTTGTAAAGATTACTTGTAGCTGTCATTGTCTCAAACGTGTCATATTTGTTTATTCAGCTCATAGATTCATAGATTCTAGGACTGGAAGGGACCTCGAGAGGTCATCGAGTCCAGTCCCCTGCCTTCATGGCAGGACCAAATACTGTCTAGACCATCCCTGATAGACATTTATCTAACCTACTCTTAAATATCTCCAGAGATGGAGATTCTACAACCTCCCTAGGCAATTTATTCCAGTGTTTAACCACCCTGACAGTTAGGAACTTTTTCCTAATGTCCAACCTAAACCTCCCTTGCTGCAGTTTAAGCCCATTACTTCTTGTTCTATCCTTAGAGGCTAAGATGAACAAGTTTTCTCCCACCTCCTTATGACACCCTTTTAGATACCTGAAGACTGCTATCATGTTCCCTCTCAGTCTTCTCTTTTCCAAACTCAATAAACCCAATTCTTTCAGCCTTCCTTCATAGGTCATGTTCTCTAGACCTTTAATCATTCTTGTTGCTCTTCTCTGGACCCTCTCCAATTTCTCCACAGCTTTCTTGAAATGCGGTGCCCAGAACTGGACACAATACTCCAGTTGAGGCCTAACCAGCGCAGAGTAGAGCGGAAGAATGACTTCTCGTGTCTTGCTCACAACACACCTGTTAAAGCATCCCAGAATCATGTTTGCTTTTTTTGCAACAGCATCACACTGTTGACTCATATTTAGCTTGTGGTCCACTATAACTCCTAGATCCCTTTCTGCCATACTCCTTCCTAGACAGTCTCTTCCCATTCTGTATGTATGAAACTGATTGTTCCTTCCTAAGTGAAGTACTTTGCATTTGTCTTTATTAAACTTCATCCTGTTTACCTCAGACCATTTCTCCAATTTGTCCAGATCATTTTGAATTTTGACCCTATCCTCCAAAGCAGTTGCAATCCCTCCCAGTTTGGTATCATCTGCAAACTTAATAAGCGTACTTTCTATGCCAATATCTAAGTCGTTGATGAAGATATTGAACAGAGCCGGTCCCAAAACAGACCCCTGCAGAACCCCACTCATTATACCTTTCCAGCAGGATTGGGAACCATTAATAACTACCCTCTGAGTACGGTTATCCAGCCAGTTATACACCCACCTTATAGTAGCCCCATCTAAGTTATATTTGCCTAGTTTATTGATAAGAATATCACGCGAGACCGTATCAAATGCCTTACTAAAGTCTAGGTATACCACATGCACCGCTTCTCCCTTATCCACAAGACTCGTCATCCTATCAAAGAAAGCTATCAGATTGGTTTGACATGATTTGTTCTTTACAAATCCATGCTGGCTATTCCCTATCACCTTACCACCTTCCAAGTGTCATCTCAATTTCAGAATGAGGCATAGGGACATAATGGTGTGATACCTGCAGCTTTATTCTTAAGTGCCTTTTTTATTATTGCTATTCTATTTTTAAATGATGAAATACATAGAACTGTTGTGAGGTTTGTTTAAAAATGTGCAGGAAGGATTAGAAATTTGCCTGCCATGCCGGTGGTCTTAGACATCAGTAGTCATCCTCCAACCTTTTGATAGTATGGACCATATCTTAATAGATAGTGGAAATAAAAGATAGTCCAATCAAACAATATTCCTGTAGCAATTATGTAGCAGTGGCCCCAAACAGAAGTAGCTAGTCTGGCTCCTTCACCTCCTCTTAGAAGCAGCGGACTATAAAGAGAGTTACACCATGTGAACTGCCAGCTCTCTGTGGACCAACACTAGTCCACAGAATAATTTCTCTCCTTGCATCATGTCTGCTGCCATGTTGCAGACACAGAAAGCAAGTGAAAATCATGTGGGTTAGGAGGGAATCCATGTTAGGACCAGAAAGCATGATCATCAACATCATTATTTTTACATTTTAATATTGTGGCATTGGGGCCCCATTGGGCTAGGCCCTATACAAACATATAGTAAATATATCCTAGCTGAGAAACTTTACCAAGAATATTGGACCATAAGACCTCAGACAGACCAACTACTGATGGTCTGAGAACAGCATCACTTGCTATGGATCAAGCACAAATTCTACTGATTGACAAATGCAGGAGCCTTAAGAGAGATTTGTAACTGAGTTTAGTTACAGAACATCCCAATAGGAGGAAAAACAGTCCAATAAATATATTTAATATTTGTTCTCATTTATATTTGTTCTCTCTGCTCTTGCTCCCCTGACTCCTTTGGCACTTGAGCCTGCATTATTCTGCTTCATGACACCAGCTTTCTCATTAAGGAGCCCTCCAATAGGTTTCCCTCGGTTCTTCTTTCTGTGCCACTGTTTCCTGTGTTGTATGTCTGAACCTCTTTCCCTCCTGTTATTTAAATGGCAGCTGTCCCTATTTCCAGCTTGATGTAAGAAGGAAAGTAAACAGTCTCCTCCGAAACAGGCAGCAATGCTATTCCCTAAATAGGCTAGCAGTAAGACTCTTGCAGACTTGACATTCCACTCTGCAGTGGATGCCAAACTAATCATCTCTGCATGAAGCAACAGAGGGTCCTGTGGCACCTTTAAGACTAACAGAAGTATTGGAGCATAAGCTTTTGTGGGTAAATGCCCACTTCATCAGTGGTGTACCTGATGCTTCCTCCTGGGAAGCAGATACCCTTGCAAATACAGGGCTCCTGCATAGTCATACACAGAGCTGCAAATGGATGGGGCAGCAGGGAGGGGAGTGAGAAGGTGAAATCCATTTCTGTAATAGAGATTTGAACCTCCAATATTTTCTACTTACAAGAGCAGTTGAACTTTGTTTTCCTTCAGAAAAGAGGAAGAGGAACGGGCTGTTGGTGCCATTTATTGTAAAAAGATAGACGACTTGCTCCAGCAGTCAGATTTTGTGATGCTGGTTGTGAAGCTGACGCCTCAGACAGACAAACTGTTTGGGAAGAAGGAGTTAGAACTGATGAAACCCACTGCTAC